TGTCCTTTGTAATTCTAACATTGCAACTCTACCTATACCCTTGGATATGAATACAAACCAGATTGCAGTACAAATTATTAATTATTCATATTAAGTACTGCAATTAAATCCAGTATTCTTAGTAATTTCTGTTTTGTGGGTTTCTTTTTAACCACTTTCCCAAAAATAAATACATAAATAAATAAATAAATACACAAATAAATAAATACAATTTTAAAACTTGCTAAACAGCTTGAATTATGAACAATAAAAATAAATAATAAATAATAAAATAAAATATATGGATAAAAATGGGCAAGAAAATTATGTTACCTGGGAAATGCAATATTGTAGTTCAGACAAAGCCCATGTCAAACATGAACAGTCATACATGTGCTTTCTCTTTCTAGTTTTGATTCAAAAGCGTCTAAAGAAGGAGAAGAGGAGTAAGAGGCGACTACAGGAAGCTTTGGAGGAGGAGGTGAAACTGCGAGACCAGGCGGAGCACAGCCTGCTCCACAGCGCCCCCACACTCTCAGGTACACACATCATCTCTTTGTAAACATCAAGACTTATTTGTTTGAGCCGTAACTCACCAAGCACTAGCGCTATTCTCATTTTCATATTAAATGTCACCATGCCTTGAGTACAACACAGGCTCGACTGTCCATTAGCCTCTAATTAAGTGTCTTTATGAATTAATGACCAAACTACAGGCCATCAATCATCAGCGGCCCCTCCCCACTCAGAGTCTGTGACCCAGGACGTGGAAGGGAGCAAACATGATGACAACAGGCTGGACACTAAGGCAACAGCACAAGGTACAGCTGTCTGGCCCCTAACAAAGCATACTGCACAACAACCACACTTACTTTCTATTCAGACTTTTATTTGTTATCTTGAATCGCTGTTGCTGCAAAAGCACTCTAGGATTCAATTTGGTTTAGAGCAAAATAAAAGACAAATCCAAGTTAGAGAGACAATTTTACATTTTTATGTGCCTTTGGACATTGTAAACTGGATTTAAAAGATTAAGCATTTGCTGAAATTGTGGTTCTGGCAGATTTCTCAAAGCAACTGCATTTTCAACCTTTCCTCCCCTCTGAACTTGTGGGGAATTATTAACTTATTAACCATGCTTTTGTGAATCCGGAACCAGTTTAGGTGTTTTCGGTTTTCCTCAAATTTAGAGAATAGTGTGATTTTATTTTTCGGTGATCCTTTATTTGGCTCTAATCAACTGGCTTGTGACAACACATTTCATTATTTCACCTGCTCTCTGCATTTGATGCTTAACTGACCAGTGTACTGGAAGGGTTTTCAAAGATTTCTCAGGGAGGCCGCGCCTCAGAAATTGACCAAAATTAAATGAAGCGTGATGCAGTTCACTGAGGCTGCTGCTTTAATGGAGATGGGCATTTAATATATTTATTTCTGCCATCATTGTTGCTCTCACAGTGATAGATTAATGAGAAAATCCCCAAAGTAACATGTTTTAATAGACAAAAATAGAAATGCACATGATCTCTCGCCCGCTTCCATTAAATGAGAGCATAGTCCAACCCCTCCTCTGCTCCGTGCCGCTCCAGGACCACCTTACCAGAGAGCTTGCTTGTTCAAAGGCAATTTTTAATTGAATGTCAGTGAAGCAAGAAAAGAACTGGCCACTAATTAACGGCTGTCTTAATTGTCCTCATGACGAGTTTGTTTGGACATCATTTGCATAATTAACACCCAGTAATAAATCATTTAAAGGGGGATTGTCTGTCAGACAGCAGGGCAGGAAGCAATTCCTTTGTGCCAGGAAGTTTTATCGAAAAAACATGGATCTGAGCCCAAAGCACAATTCCCAGTTCTTCCCTAATCATGGCTGTATATTAATGATCTATGGTTCATTTACTTGACCTTTCAGATTTTTACTCTTCACAGACTCTTCATACATAAAGACACTGTTTAAATTATCTTTTTTCTGTGTGTTTCAGAAGGTAGAGTGTTTCTTAAGACTACTGGCCTGTACTAAACATATCATGGATGAACTGAGAAGACCGAAGCCCCTTTTACTAATCTCTGACAGGCATTTGATGACCACTCTCATCCTATACATTTCAGGGTGACATTTTATCTTTTTCTTATTTAATTTATTACACTTATCACTGGATCTCTGCTGTAGTGAGAACAGTTCTCTATTCTAATGTGTTTCAATGTGTTTCTTTTCAATCAAATTTTCTGATCCTACAGTAGTTAAGATGAACATAGTTGTTTTCTGTCAGTGCTGTTTATCTGGACTCAGTCGATGAATATAACTTGTAACAAGAGTCGTGTACATATATAGTCATCACTTTTCGTTATTATCATGAATATAACAGCATGTTGTACAGTCAGTAAATGACTTGTATTGTGAATGTTATGCAGTAGTGCAGTTTGACAATACAAAATACAAATCCTTTTTATGAATTTGTGTCTGTGCTTTTTCTTATCTCCCATCCAGCTTTATAGACATATAAAATGTATTTATAGCATGATTAACTGTTAAGTTCATTTCTAAATCTTGTGAGCTGAGGAGAGGCTGTTTAAGCACACGCTGGCTGCACTTGTGAGTGTAGCGGGAGATGTGTCATTGATTCTAGCTGCATCTCCAAAGCATACACGTAAGTATTGACACACAGACAGGGGGAGGCCAGAAGGGTCACATGCTAGATGTCCTTTAGTGAAACATGTTGACAATGCACTATCTCCCTGTGTGATGGGCTTCTTCTACTGTGTGTGGCCCCTGAGGAGAAATTCACTAACAGCCATATGCAAATGTTGCTTTAAAAGAAAACTTATATTATCTTAAATATAGTCTGGAGTTATAATCTACATATAAGTTATAATTGGAGCAGAACTTTTTGGTTAGATTAACTCTATAGAGATCATTTCTTCAATAAACATTACACTTTTCAAAGCCCTAACTCTGTTAAGAGTTGCATTAACAGATTGTATTCTAATGGGCGCTTGTCTAAAAATTCAATGTGCCATTTCCTGGACTCTGGCTGATAAGCTGTGATGCAGGAATAAAACAATACCTTTGTCGCTGACACCTGAATAGCAATGATTCACATAAATGAATGAGAGAATGAGCCATCAGCTTTCAGATGACCACCTCAGAGCTGTCCTGACTAAAAAGGTTTGTGACTTCATTCAGCGCTGTGCTACTCTTTCACGCTTGCTCGTATCTCTCTTTCTCCTGTCACACATGCACACACATTTGCCTCACAACTCACAGAGTTGCATTGTCCTGCCGAGCGATGTGTAATGGAAAAGATAAATGGAGGATAAAGCTAAGGTGACAGGACAGAGCATGCATGTGTGTATGTGCATTTGTGTGAACCCGTATGTGTGCACTGCACAACAGACCAGCAAACCATCTGCTCATCTCCTCTTAATGAACAAAGCAAACAGCAGGAGTCAAGGCTGTCTCCAAATCTGGAGTCTCTTTATTGGTAAGCACACACATGCGCGCACACACACACACGCACCCCACACACACACATGTACACACATCTTTGTGCTGTTTAATCTGATTATCTTTGATTGAGAACAGGGGCAAAGCAACCTTTTTAGACCTTACTCCTACATCAGTGACAGAGAAGGTCTGAAACACAATTAGCAAGCTGTTCCTGAGTTCTGCTTTGCAGTCACATCTGACCACGGGCAGCCAAATAGACCTAATGGCTGGGAACTAACCAATGGGAACTAACACACCACTGCATCTGTACATGATGAGGAAAAGCAACACTATTAGGCAGCTGTTCACCATATCTTTTCAAATGTACTTGGTCGTAACATAAGCATCGGATCAATTGCCTCTAGAGTAATAACACACTGAGAGGAAGGTATACACATGGTTTGATGTGACTAAAGCTGGCAGCTTGTGGTGTAGGACAAAGCAAGGCCTCTGAAAAAGGGAGTCTGGACATTGACAAGATATGACACTGCCTGCATAATTTCAAAGAACCACAATGAAAACTTTGTGCAGTCTCATCCTATACTCAAGGTCCAAAGTACAATTATCAGGTCCTGTACAGGAAAAATATAGGCCTAATGTACTGGATTTTTTATGTCTCATTATGGCATTGACCTATTAGGCCTATTTCATTTACTAATGCTTTATAGGCTAATTGGCATAATTGGCCGCAAATTGTCAAAAAACGCGGTAGTAGACTAGCAGTCAGTGTGGCTACAGACAATTGAACCAAAGGAACAATGTTTTATGGAAACAAGAAGAGAGAGGCCCATCTCCAGGTCAAGTAAGAGTAATTTATACATTTCTATGTATATTTAAGAGTTACACAGCAGTGCTTTAATGTAAGTTACATAATTTACTGAAAGCTACTTATCCTAATCTTAAATTTTGGAATGAGGGGGTGACTGCCGTGAACGAACAGCTACACTTTGACGTAAGAAGGTTACGCAAAAGGGCACTGCGTTGCTTTTCTGGTTGGGGCTCTGCCGTCTGCTTGCCTCCGTGTTATTGCATTGCCTAAAATGTTCCACAGTATAGCATGAAAAACATTTTCATTGCTTCAACAATAAGCTATCTTGAAAAAAATATATACTGTAAATAATAACTATAGGCCAAGCAAGCTTGTCTGATCTGCAACTTGGCCTGTTGAAGTCAGTTTGACTCACGGAAAATTCCAGGTGAAGCAATAACATCTCCATGAGCACAATAAGGTATTAATAATTCAGAGTGCATAGGCCTGATTTGCAGTTTATTCCTGAAAAGATGTGACTCTCAAATTTTACCTCTTATTCCAGAACCACTGTCCTTAACCTATTATGAAAAATCACTTTGTAATACATTTTACTGAGAAACTAAATTCCCTAACCTAAAGGGCGTTGCGGGACGGACAACCAGCAGTGGGACAGGTGGTCACCCATGTGGTCACTCTGCTGCGGCTTGGGTAAGAAGTGTAACAGCGCCCTCAAGTGTTTAAATGTAGTTTTCATGCAATCATTTATTTTGGGCTTTAAGAGCTTCCATAGCAGATTTCTCTTACCCTAACTGCTTCCTTGTCAGCATGGATCCCCAGTTCAATTTTCGCTCGGTGTTTTAGTATTAGTCTTTTATTCTCTTTTGTAGATATTTGATCGTATTGGTTTTGTAGTAGTTCTGCTCGCCATGTTTACTACTACGGGGTCGCGGGGCCTCTGTAAGTACATCATCCTGATCTTTTAAGTAATGCTAGCTTGTCGCAGTCCCCGGTACTGTTGATATATCTGTCATTTCCAGAGGCAGTGATTAGCGTTTAGCTGTTAGCATTATCCTGTCATTCATTTACTACTTCTTATCAGGAATACGGAAGTGCTTGCTTAAAGGTCCTATATTACGCTCTTTTTGGATCTATGTTGAAATGTTGTTTCAAATACCTGGAGTTGGGTTTTATTTCATTCACACATGTTTAACACACAAACCTAGCATATTTCTATAAAACGGAAAACACTATGTTCTACCTTGTGATGTCATGTGCCTTGGACTTCCCAATTTCTACTGAACAAAAGGTAACTTGAAAACTACCACTAAATAATATCACAAGGTGGAACAGAGCATTTGGAGCTTTGGAGATGTAGACAGACTAATTATAAGGGATCACTCAAACGTGTGTAAGAAACAAAACACAACAGGTATTTTTTTGAGGAGATAACTTCTAACATTGCTTAACGCTCACAAGAGTCAAATTCACGTAATATAGGACTTTTAATACACAGTATATGAACTGTATTCATTCCTTATATTGCAGTAGTTAGGATTTTTTTGGTTATACTTTCACTTAGGCCTATGTAAGTGTTGTCACAGTCTGTTTGACAAACATTTAAAGTAATTGCAGCGTATTTATACAAGAGGAAACAAAGTGTAACTGAGCTAATCATTGTTGTCTTTTTGCAGACAAGGCTCCTCTGTCCAAAGGCTTGTTGTTGGTGTTGAATGGGCTGACTGTGATGCTCACCCTCCTGCCACAGTACCAGCACATGTTTGAGTACAATCTGCAGGCCATTACTCAGCACAATCAGGTTTGTCACCTTCAAGCCACTCATCTGCATGATTATGAACTACACTTGCATACACATCATATCAAAATTGTGTCTAAACCTGGACTAAAAAAGGACTGGAATGGGACTGAACCATGTCTACATCAGAACTTATCTGTTACCAAGGACAAAACAGGTCAACTGTAACTGCACCCTGAAGGTATTCAATCCATGGGATTTTAGGACAATTAGGACAGTTGCCATAACCATGTAGAACAATTTATTATGTGTTTTAAATGCAAAAAGATTCTCAAAATCTTGCATATAAGTGGAAGCTAAATGAATGAATAGCTAGCTCCAAGTGAGTGAGCAAATAACAAAACTGTGGTGTGCTTTGACACTGGAATTCTTACCCTATTTGTTGTTTTCTAACCAGCTCTATTCCATAGTTACTATAGGGGACATGAGCTCTAATAAAAAGGGTGTCCAAAATAAATTAATAGAACTGTATTTAATGTGTCTTCTGAAGGTTATTAAAACATAAGAGCTACACAAGTTATATTATCTGAAACATCAGTGTATATATGAAAGCAGACTGAGTGTAGTAAGCATTTCTATTTCACTGTTGTATTTTTGCCATAGTTTTGGAGATTACTATGTGGGAGAATCGTGTGCCTCGACATCAAAGATTCTTTTTGTAGTAGTCTACTTATCTACAACTTCCGCATTTTTGAGAGGAGGTTTGGTACCCGCAAGTTTGCTGTAAGAGAATTTTCTATTGACTTGTAAAACTGATGTTGGAAGCAGTGAAGTGCTGTTTGACTCACCCCAATACATTTTATAGTCTTTCCTGCTGGGCACCTGGTTTCTGTCTGCGCTGATGGACTTCCTGCTGACACAGGTCTTTGAGTTTCTTTTTGACTATGAGGTGGAAGAACTGCCTGCTGGAATGTGAGTAGATTATTAAATCTTACAGACAGTAAGATGATTGTTGTTGAATATAAAAGCACATTTTCAATAATTTAATTAATCCTCATAATGATCCTATATCCACTGTTCCCTTTACAGGCTGGCACCAGTCTTTTCTCTTTTTGTGCCTTTTTATAATTCAATCCCCAGGATGCCAGTGACCCAGATCTTGGGTCAAATCCACATCACTAATAAGTCTCTGGTTTATATTGTAGGCTTGCAGGTGTGTATAGTTATGGCTCTTGAGTTTAACTATTTTATCTTCCATACACTCTCAGTCTGTATTGTTATTTTTGTTGTAATGTATGCTCTGTTGTCCAGCTGCTGACATCCAGTCCTTTCATGTGGCTTCTCGCTCTCAGTGGTCTGGTAAGAAAATAATCTACACATACATACCCAGGTCTAGAAAAATAGTTATATGCATCATATATGTTTTCTTTTTTTCAGATATCAGGTGCCCTGTATCACTGCAATTTTCTTAAGATGCAAAAGTTTGTATTTGTGCCTGCCTGGGTCTCTCGTTTGGGCCGTTGTACCCTGGAGCCTGTTTTTTCAAGTAAATGTCACACAAATTCATTTTGGGGAAAACCGTATGTTTGAAAAGTTCGATTGAGGTCACTATTTATTGCTCTCATCCTTTTTGTTTTCAAGGTACACAGCCTGTCAGTGAAACACCTATAGGGATGGGAGCTACTCTAGATATCCAGAGGCAACAGAGGATGGACATGCTCGACCAGCAGCTGCTGTTTGCTCAGTACAATGAGGCCCGAAGAAATGCAAGGCTTCAGCCTCAAGTACTGAAGACCATAAACCTTCTCTTAGTCATGCCTTCTACACTCATCAATGTTGTATCTAAATATACATTATCTCTTATCTTCACTGTATAGGGTGGTCTATTACAGTGGACTAGGTTGTTTCCATCATTGCGGCACAGGAGACAAAACCATCCCACCGCACAGCCTCAGCCCCAGGGTCAAGCACACGCCTCTACACAGCAACCGCAGCTAGACAACTTACCTGCTTCTGAAGAACAGGTGACCTTTTTTCCTAGCCAAATATGCATTTTGTAGTTGGATTATTTAACCTGATCTGTACTGTTTTAAAAAACATGAAAAAGATTTAAATTTTAAACGGTTTGCAGTGGTCCAAAGACCAGAGTGGAGTGGAATGGAGTTTTGCCGTGACGACAGCTGCTAACAACAAATAGCATGCTAACACACATTTTCTCATTATCGAACAGTAAAGTGCTTTCTGAGTAGATACAGATCACACACAGCAGACTTATTTTGCTTGAGCTGCTTATACAATATATTTGTATTGCGGCAAGGCAAATTTTGCTCAGGTCCATAGATAAGAATTCTGATAGAGGGCTTTTAACTAGCATAAACACTCTTTAGTTGATAAAAACAAATCATATAAGCCCTTAATGCTTGGATGTTGTTGCTACAGCTTGTAATATTATTTCTTATAATTTGCATGCATGTGTGCTATGTTGGCAGTAGAAATTGGAAGCTGTTGCTAATTGGCTGCTCAGTGGTGTCTCCCAAAATATCAACATGAGACAGGAACAAGCAACAAGCTTAAAATATACCCTGGTCTATATCCATAATATAAGAAATAATGTACATTTAATAATAATATGTTTTGTAACTCTAGCTTTTCGCTATTTTGCAGGTTGCAAGGCTAGTGGAAATGGGCTTTTCCAGGATCGATGCCCTTGAAGCCCTCAGAGCCTCAAACAATGATATCAACATGGCAACCAATTTCCTCCTGCAACATTGAGGGATCTGTAGATATACGACTGGATTAGAACAGAGTCTAGTCCGAAGGCTGAATATTGCATAGCAGGAAGTGAAGACCGAAATGAGGATGTAACAGATGAACAGATTATGTGTTGTGTGTCTGACCTCACCTGGACAGAGCCTTGTGGCATGGGGCATACATCCACACAGTTCTGGCTTGTTCGTATCTGTCCAAGAGGTTCTCATGAGAAAAATGTCAAATTTGTACTGAGAAAGTATAAAGAGTGGAGCAATAATTGCAGTTAAGCATTAATGCTTTGTTTAATCGGGAAATCTATGTCAAAGAATGTGGTGAAACACAGATGTAAAAGCACAGTTGTTACACATGTGTCAAAAGGATGTAATCAAGTGATAATTTTTCATCATTTTTATGGTGAGGATTCAGGTTATGTAAAAACTGCTGAGAGAACACATGATATGTACTTATGTTGACAAAATTGGAGGAAAATAGATTTTAATTATTGGAGACAAGTTATGAAAGGCTATCTGAAATGGAGTAAATTATTTTTGGTGACTTTTTAAAAAGCTGACCCCATTCGCTGTTAATGGATATGAGGCTATACTTCCATTTATAATGGGATGGTGTTGCTTGGTGACTCATGACCACCATGCAGTCAGTTGTCATGCATTAATCTCAGGGGCTCCCTGGCCACTTGTTTCATTTATACTTTACAAAAGTAAAGGCACGCACCAGCCCTAAAAAACACATTTTGATACACTCCAGGCTGTGTTTGTTTTTCAGAAGTTCAGACAGTTCAAACTGAAGCAGTTGAGTTTAAATGTCAGCTATTTATTATGCAAAATTATGATAAGTGGTACTTTGTGTAAATGAATCTAACTATCCAAATGTGCAAGATAAATCACTTCAGAGACTGTGTGCAGATGTAAACGATAAATGCTAGTTTTCTATTTTGTGCATTATATTTAATATATGACATCAGTTGTGTCTGTTGGTGTGTATGCAATTTAATTTAAGAGTGATATCAGTTTTGTTTCTGAAGAAGTAGTTGCATGGCCAACACATGGATGAAAGACACATTTTGATCTGTGGAATAAATAAGCTGTTTACTTTAAAGCCTCACTCTTTGGTATTCATATCCAAATATACATACTTTGAGCTTTTCCAGCAAAACAAAGAACACTGAGAGAAATACTGAATGTAAAGGCAGCTAGATAATTAAATAAGTGCTTCTGTGAGATTATTATTTTTGCATAAATTATTAGATAGTATTGGTTATGGGTGACAGTGACACTTTTTCTGTTTAGATAAGGAAATAACTCATAACTGCATTTAAGAGGCGTTGGTGAGTGCCTGTGATCGTCAATAGATGGCGTCCGTGAGCTTGTTTTGGGCACTCAGGCTCTGCCACACCCACCTGCTCCCATTATTGCACGGTTCCTCTTGGAGCAGACAGCGACAGACAGCGTCGCTCCAGGGTGGCTCAATAAGAGTGTCGACGAATTATTCATATCTTCGAGCTCAAATTAGAGATTTCAAAGGCTCGTGCTTCACTGACAGTTCTATGAATCAGAGAATGCTTTAGGAATGTATATGATGCTGACAATTTTAAATGTTGCACAAGTTCACGAGTCAGGAAAGCAAAAATATTTAAGGTCCTTTTAACGTACACAAAATGAACTCTTGTGAACTTTAAGCCATGTTATTATGTTTCTAACACCTCAAAAACGTACCTGGAATTTAGTTTAGTTTCATTCACACATGTTTGAATAATCTTTTATTTTTAGTCTGTCTACATCTCCAAAGCTCAAAATGCGCTGTTCCATCTTGTGATGTTAAGAAGAGGTCATTTTCAAGTTAACCTTGAGTTAACCTTTTACCTTGTGTTCCTTAGTCATAGACAATTCCAGGGTTGAAATTATTCAGATGATTCAGAAGGTGTATGGAGTTTAAAAACGCAGTGGAGTGCTTTCTGTATTACCACATGACATCGCAAGGTGTTTTCTGTTTGAGAGAAGAACTCAGCCTAAATATGCAGTTTTTTTGTGTTAAACATGTGTGAATGAAACAAAACACAAGTCCTGGTATGTTTAGATGTGGAAATAACATAAATAAAGACTAATTGATTGATTTTAGCAGATCAAAAATAGCATAATATGGGCCCTTCAACTTCTGAGTGCAGAGTTACACTGTTCTGTCCTTTCCAAAACCCCATTAAGCACATCTGATTTGAATACTGACAGCTAAAAATGGATGTTGCTGTTCATTCATGCATTTCTTTAATTACACTGGAGGCTACAACTAGCAGGTTAATATGAATGAAAGGGAAGGTATGTAGAAAATTGGACTATTTCTGTCCTCAGATATGAACATTATACATATTCAAATCATACATTGGTTTTACTGATATAACTATAGCCTAATATTAGTTTATTCTTAATTATGCAAACATTGTACATTGCTAAATTATTTATGTTGTTATTTGGTGTTTTGGTTAAATTATCCAGAGAGCAGAATGAGCATTCCATGATATAGCATACCATTCCATTCTCTCATTTTGGCTGCCAGTTCCAATGACAAAATACAGTTTGTCTAAACCTAAAAGGAGTCATTGATCTTAACACTCACTACCAAAACCCCAGCACCGACAGCCAATCACTAATGAGTGCTAGTACAGCCTCTGCAGCTCTGGACGTTCTAAAATTTCACATGAGGCCTGGCTTGTCCATGTACTAAGACAGAAAAAAATGTACGACTTCATGCAGATTAAAGGGTTTATATTATGCAAAACTGACTCTTGTGAGCTTTAAGTCATGTTAGAATATTGTTACCTCCTCAAAAACATACATGGAGTTGTGTTTTGGTTCATTGTGTTTTGTTGTATGTTTGTGATGAGGAAACATTATAACAGGTCAGAAAATAGTGTAATATGGGCACTTGCAACCCCAACTCAGTTGTTGTAGTCCTTTCCTAAATCACTAAAATATTGACTTTAAAATAGGCTAAAAGTAAACTATGAAGCGTGATAAGTTATAATTTCAGCAAAAGAACAGAAAATCCTTCCTGGCAAAAACTGTATGTAACCAACCGAGAAATTGCAAGAAAACTCTTCAAATAAATGGTTTTGTTGGGGACTGGAGAGACTCAGTGGCAGGATGATAGACTGTGAGTTTAGGGTTTTTTCCTTGTCTGGTAGAAACCCATGATAGCACAGTTGGCTATGGCCTTGTTGCATCAGCAGTTAGTGTCTGGCGATTTGTCATTTCTGAACCATCTGTGGCTTTATTAAGCAAGGCCCATTGTTGCACATAATAAATAGCTACAGTAGAAAATCAGAACGTATCTGTGCTGCTATTCTTTTAAAGCTTATTCATCATTCAAAGTTCACCTTTTATTAAACTCAACCCATTTACATATAACTCAGTGTGAAAAATTAAGTGGAAATAGGCCTTGAAGTTTTATAACAATTAATGACTTGATACTCTGAATGCTGTTTAGATAAAGTAGTAATGCATACTCTTTAGTAATTTTTCAGAGGTGAATGCTCGCTGTAGCACTAAAACAAGTGCCTTTCTTATCTTAATTTTGACTACATCATCTCAGTTTCAGTCTCTCACTATGGTTGGCCCACAGAGGGAAAAAAAAACATTGGATTATGGACATTACTACTTAGACTTCAGCAGACTTTATTGATGCAAAAGGGAAATTACCTGGACACAGTAACTCACACATTACACATCATACACGCATCATTTTACAATAACAAATAGTAAAAAACATATGAAAATGGTAAAAAACTAAACAAAAACAAAAACAAAAAAACCTTCTAAATAAGTAGCAATAACAAAAGTAGCAAGACACTGGTGTCAAAGAGGACATAAATTATATAAATATATGTTCAGTAAATGAAAAACAAATATCGTAAAACAAATAGAGTATGTCACAGTTATATACAAGAGGTCGTAAGGAAACAGTGCAAAGATGATATGATGATTGACAGTAACACAGGTATATATGTTCCATAAAGGTGAGTTGTTGTACATCTGTATGGAGTACAGTATAAATGTAGTCCTGTAGCTCTCACTGTCTGAGCGGAGCTGTAGGAGCCTGTTGAGAATGAGCTCCTCTGTCCCTCTGGTGCAGTGGGTGAGCAGCAGTGTCCATGATGGAGAGCAGTTTGTTCAGTGTCCTCCTGTCCCTCACTGTAACAAATGTCTCCAGCTCACAGCCGATTATGTTACCAACTTTACGGAACAATTTGTCAATCCGTCCAATGTCCCTTTTACTGGTGCTGCTCCTCCAGCAGACCACAGTGAAGTACAGGGCCCAGGCCAACCCAGACTGGTAGAAGATCTCCAGTAACTTGCTGCACACTTTGAAATACCTGAGTTTTCTTAAGAAGTAAAATCTACTCATGCTCTTCTTTTACACAGCTTTACTTTTGTCCCTCCAGTCCAGCCCGTTGTTCACAGTCCACTATTTCCACATCATGGCTCTATATGGTGACAGGCTCCACTGGTGTCCTCTACCTCCTGAAGTCAGTCACCAATTCCTTGGTCTTGTCAACGTTCAGGAGGAGATGGTTTGCCTGGGACCACTCTACAAAATTTGCAGTCAGTCTCCTGTACTCCAGCTCCTGTTAATCTCTGATACACTCAACCACTGCAGAGTCATCAGAGAACTTCTATAGATGGCAGGATCCGGAGCTGTACTGGAAATCAGAGGTGTACAGAGTGAACGGAAATGGAGACAGGACTGTACCCTGGGTAGCTCCTACATTACTGACCATAGTATCAGACAGGGTGGTCCTCAGCTGCACGTACTGAGGCATGCCTGACAAGTAGTCAGTAATTGAGGAGACAATGGAGGAGCTGACACCCATCCTGAGCAGCTTCTCAGAAAGGGCTGGATTATGTTAAAGGCACTGGCAAAATTTAAAAACAATATCCTCACAGAGCCCTTAACACTATCCAAGTATCTATCCCACTATCTAAATAAGCTCTAGCTAAATAAAATGAGCTTCAAAGTAGATCTGTCACGATAATTACTATATCAGCTTCAATATATGAATCCAGGAACAATATATTTTGGGACTCAATAATTATGGTGTGTACAATTTCTTTGCCATAGAGATTTTTGACGATATGATATGTGCTGTAGAGGGTTGAATAGCTTCTCAAGCTATTGGTTAATTCTGTCATTTTTTGTAGCTCATGCCTTTTAATGATGCAGTATATTTAAAATTTGGTTTACTGGGATTATCCTGTGTTCACGTGACAAACAAAGATGTATTTAATTGTATATGTATATTATTATGTCCAAATTCCCTGCAAACTAAGATAGAACTAGCAACCAAGTTTTAGATTTCTTTCCAGACATGGCTCTGGGCCAAGTAGAACATGGGTCTTGGGTTATTCTAGGTAAAACTACCAGAGTAGTTGTAGGTCTATGATATTGTCCCTTAAAAATACACACACACACACACGAAGGCCTACTGTAGCCCATCTCCTGGCCTCGATACCGACTCCACTGTATCCCCTCATCAGCTCTCCGTTGCCATGGAGAGTGCATGCCGGTTTAGTGTGGTTACCATAGCAACCCTGTGATACTGCCTTCTTCTCTCATCATGTTTTCTGCCTGATCATTTGTGCGCCTGCCTTGGCTGAGCTTCTGTGAGCTAATGCAAATGAAAAAAAAAAAAATGTGTGAGAAAGAAATGCCCTTGGGGTTTGCCTTTGACAGAAATACTAATTCTGTCCTGTTTAGTTTATTGAGAAAAGTACCTGAACAATCTTGTGTGTAAATATTCTCACAATGTTACTTGCTTTTCTTTTATCAAAGTAACCCTCATCGCTATGGAAGTCAAAGATGCCACGCGCGTCCCACCAATATGATAATCAGATTCAAGCTCGTACATAATGACATCATTTGTTAACTTCATTCCTAACAAATAGTCTGCAAGTCCTTATAGTAATACGCATTATCAAGTCTTCAAGTAAAAGAGATACGTGGAAAAAGCTTTGTGTATGTTACAACAAGAGGTGAACACCACTGATGTTTTAACTCATGTTTAAACAGAAGCACTAATGGCATACAACAATGTTCCTCGGGGCCATAGACGG